ATGACCTGAGCTGAAACCAAGAGTTGGATGCTTAACGGACTGAGACACCCAGGTGCTCCTCTTTGCTGTATTTCTTTTTTTTATTGTTATTATTTTTTTAAATATTTATTTTATTTTTAAGGGAGAGAGAGAGTGCGCACGTGCTCTCATGAGCGGGGGAGGGGGAGGGGCAGAGAGAGAGGGAGACACAGAATCTGAAGCAGGCTCTAGGCTCCGAGCTATCAGCACAGAGCCTGATGGGGCTTGAACTCATGAACCTCGAGATCATGACCTGAGCCAAAGTTGGCACTTAACTGACTGAGCCACCCAGGCGCTCCTGCTGTATTTCTTAAATCAATTCCAATCACAGCTGCTGTTTCAAGGAAAAAGTGCAAACAGAGAATGAAATGAGACACTAAGAGCCAGGATGGGCAAGTTCCTAAGCGTTTGCAAGTATCCTGCCTCTGTTTTGTGAATTTCATTATACCTGCCTTCAGCGACCTCCACAACCTCTTCTCAATAAAGGGTTCCCATAAGGAACCCTTATTCTAGACAAAAGAATACTCCCCAAGTCCATTTGATTATTTTTCTGCACTAATTTATTAGAATTTCAGTACTATTTTCTTTTTTCTCTTTCCAAATGTATACTATTTGGGGATGCATAATGGATTAAAGGGGTTCTAGTGGCTTAATCTGGAGACTATGTATTGCCTAAAATAGTGTGGCATCATGGACTAGCCACCAGGCTTGGAATCAAGCATCTGTTCCTGACCCTGACTTTGGGTGGCCAGGGACAAACTACTTAACATCTCTGAGCCTCTGCTTCTTTACCCACAATGTGAAAACAAGAATAGCCTCAAAGGATTCTCAATGAAGTAAAGCAACGGACATCTAGCGTGCATAGTAAATACTCAATGAACAGTTGATCTAGTTGATTTACTTTAGTAGAAACCTAACAGACTTTTGGAATGTAACCCATCTAACAAGATGGGAAACGAACGCTCTGAAGAAGGCAGTTATACCTCTGTTCTCCATTCAGGTGCTCTATCTTAGACTTGCCTCACCCCAGCCAGGTACCTTGTTCTCTTCCTTGCCTCCTCCCTTTCCCTCGGTGAGGCTGGATAGAGTGGCTTTAAAAAAAATTTTTTTTTGGGGCGCCTGGGTGGCGCAGTCGGTTAAGCGTCCGACTTCAGCCAGGTCACGATCTCGCAGTCCGTGAGTTCGAGCCCCGCGTCGGGCTCTGGGCTGATGGCTCAGAGCCTGGAGCCTGTTTCTGATTCTATGTCTCCCTCTCTCTGCCCCTCCCCTGTTCATGCTCTGTCTCTCTCTGTCCCAAAAATAAATAAACGTTGAAAAAAAATTTTTTTTTAATGTTTATTTTTTATATAGAGAGAGAGACAGAGTACGAGTGGGGAGGGGCAGACAGAGAGGGAGACAGAAACTGAAGCAGGCTCTAGGCTCTGAGCTGTCAGCACAGAGCCCGATGCGGGGCTCGAACCCACAAACCATGAGATCATGACCTGAGCTGAAGTTCAATGCTTAACCGACTGAGCTACCCAGGTGCCCCAGGTGCCCAGCCAGGCTTTCTAAAGGAAGCCAGGAAATCAATGTCCCTTAGAAGCAGATTTGCCGAGTGACTTGGGAGAGGCTGGGTCACAGGCTAACAAGCTGGCACTCCCTGTGCTCCTCCCCGCAAACCCGCCCAGCCCTTATCAGAAAGTTGGCTCTGGTTCTGGAACTATGAGGCCTTGGACAGTGCAGGAGAAGGGAGGGGGTACTGACTAGCGGCGTCTCCTGTTTCCTGGCTGGACTGCCGCGCCTGGTACTTTGGCAGGCACGGTGGTGTGGAGGGCAGTATGGGGGTGGAGGCCTTTTTTTTAATTTTAGGGGTCCTTCAGAGAGGAAATCCTGGGCCTCTCTTCCTGACTGGTCTCTGGGACCCTGCGGGTTGCAAGCCAGAGCTGAATTTCCAGGAGGCTGTGTGAGCACGTGACCAGGCCAAGAGACACCAAAGGAATGAGAAAAATAAATTTTAAGAATTTGACATTCTATATTTCCATAAAAGCACTAAAATATTATAATAGCAATGATCAGAACTTAAGGATTCCCTTATACTTATTTTATTTTTAATATGAACATTAATTTTTGAATGTTTATTTACGAGAGAGAGAGAGAGAGAGAGAGAGGGAGAACGAGTGCACAAGCGAGGGAGGAGGGGCAGAGGGGGGCGGCTCCAGGTTCTGAGCTGCCAGCACAGAGTTTGACATGGGGCTCAAACTCACGAACCCTGAGCCCACGACCTGAGCCCACGTTGTACACTTAACTAACTGAGCCACCCAGGCGCCCCATGAACATTAATATTTTTAATATGAACATTTTAAAATTACATATAGGAAGGGGCCCCTTCATGTCCTCAGTGCTGAGGGCTCTAAAGTCCTGCAGAGAGGAGGCAGAGCCACATGCCTGGGTGTTGTCCCCTAACTCTCTTCTGTGAGCCCATTTGCCAAACCTCAGTTTTTGCCTGCCAAGGTGACAGAAATGCCCTGTCTGCATGGGATAAAGAGCAGGGGTGTGGGGCAGGTGACAGTGTGGCCAAGGGATCCCAGGAAGAGACACAGGACAAGGAGGTGGAGCTCCTGTTCTCATTCCAGCTTGATCACTAACACCTTGGAGGTGTCATTTCCCTTCTGGGCTGTCATTTTCCTAGGGCTTTTCCTGGGATCTCTTAGGGACCCCCTGAGCTCCACTTGGGGTCACCCCCATGGAGGCTGTGTCCTGGCAGCTCCTCTCAGCCTTGCGGTTCCAGACACCACGTTTTCTCTTTTCCCTGTTCTCCACCCATCCTCTCTCCTGCAGATCCCAACGCTTGAACTGAGCAGAGAGGAAGGCGGAGGACTGTGCCCTTCCGTGATTCACCCTGCCCAGACCTAGAAGCTTGTGACAACCTGCCTCACCCACTTGCTCAGGGCTGGGGCCGCTTCCCCAGGGAGTCGTCTCTAAGAAGTCCTGGGAGGGGCTGTGGTGTCTGGGTAAAATGAAAATGATTCTCCCTGGGACCCAGGAAACTGAGTGGAATTGGAACTCTGGGGTTCTAGCCTTGCGTCTGTCCTGACTT